TCAAGGTGCATCTACACTGTAGAAATAATGCAATTTGATGCCCCTTTAAGCACTATGGCCCTAGTTTTGCAAGACCTGAGCAGGGTAGTTGATGACCAGGTCTTCTAAGGTCTCTCATTCACAGAGTTGCCATAAATCAAAGCTGACTTGACCACAAATAGCAAGAATTCTCTTTCCTCAACTTGGCCAACTTTCCAGTGAGGACAGAGAACCAAACGGAGTAAACACACGGATATCAATAAGAAGGCAAGAAATCCAACAGAAAATGTCCTGCCCGTTCACCTCACCATCAGAGGCTAGTGGTAATAATAATAATAATAATAATAATAATAATAATAAATGTTACTTTTAACCCGCCCCTCTGCAAAGCAATCGAGTATTACCTGAGGAGCCAACAAAGCGCTTGCAACCTCGCTCTGCCCACTGTGGAAGCAAAACAAGAGAAAAAGGCATGAGCAATGGCCATGTGGACTCTATGGGAAATGCATTTCTTTGCCAGTTAGTTGGGGGCCAGTTTGTGCATCCAAAGTCCTGAAGCCCATTCACATCATGCAACTAACGATGCAATTCACTCTGATTCCACTTTAAGGACACCCTCCTATGGAATCCTGGGATTCACAGTACCCATTTGTATTTTCAGATGAGGGATTAGGGATGCTCAGCCTGTTATTGACAACTGAGTTGGGCAGGTAATGAACATCCCTCTCCATAACTAATAGGAATAACGGCCTAACTATAATATTCTCCAAGTCGAACCCATATATCAAAGATGGAGATGGGAGGGGGGGGGAATCCATTTTGTCTCAGGTATACTGGACAATTGCATATCATTCCTGCAGAATAATGCATGCAGCATAACCAAGGACCAAAATGACTGTCCTGAAAGACACCTGTGCACTAGCGCTGCGCATTGGCTTTGAAATAAATAAAAAAACCATGGCCCATGTTGGTGAAGTGTGGAACAAAAACTCTCACAAAATTGTACATTGCTTGGTTGGACTACAAGCCTTTGTGGAGCGATGGGGAGGAGGGAAAAGAGGACCCTCTCCCCAAAAGAATAATTCTGCCTCCTGGGTGAAATTGTCCTCCAGTCCCCAAATTGGTAGCCTTCCGGGGAATGAGACAATGAAAATTGTTCACACTTAGAACGCTGCTTAGATCTCGGGTGTTTGCATTCCCTGGATACCAATGGCCTTCCCCTTTGCTTTGTGAATGCCTAAAGTTTTAAAGGACTGCAATGTGAGAAACTTGGGGGTTCAAGGAAAAATTCATAAGGGGCGGCATGGTTCTTACGGGGAGACAATGCCTTCATGTTGTCTCCCCTGATGTGACCCAAAGTGCTCTTGTAGGCAAGATGAGTTGACTCCTTCGAAATGACTGAGAAAGGATCAAACCTATCAGGAAGCATTCAATCAGCCAGAGAAAGCCTGGCAATTCTGCAGATCTGCCAGAGAAACTGCAACCATTTACCTCCAACTGTTTGTTCCGGCAATTGTTAGTTCCCCGCTACAATAGACCCACTTTGATCAATCAGGTTCACACCATTGTTGACTTATCATTCAGCCCTTGATGCAATGAGTCTCCTCTTGTTTGCCTTTGCAAGTGGACCCAAGCCTGTATGTCCAGATTCCTGCACCTGGAAGCTGATCCTGAGAGGGATCCTGGATAGGCAAATCTTTACATCGGAGTGAGCAACTGTGGGAGGCCAGTTGGCCACATTGGGACCCTAGGAGATCTTGGAGGGCTGTACCTCCGCCATAAAGAGGTCAACAAAATTGTTGTCTCCAAAGGCCCTCTAAGGGAAGTGGGGGCATTTTTACCATTTCGGGGAGCATTTTAGATCCAGAAGGAACTCGCCTCTGGTTTAGTTCTTGTTTTTTTAAAGGCTTCCTCCAGGACTTAAAATGTCCTGGGTGTGTGTGTGGTGAAAATGTCCCCCCATACCTCTTGAGGCCATTTTGGGGCAATTTTGGGGGGTGCCTGGAGGTCCTTGGGGGCTGCATGCAGCCTGCGACCCTCACTTTACCCACTCCTGCTTTACATGCTGGAAAGCGAGTGGATTCCATGTTTCTTTGCCTGGCAGAAGTAAGGTTTCCAAGCTGTGTGTCCTCAAGTTACAAGCTTGGATAGCCCCCACATAGGTTAACCTGTCAATGAAGGGCCCGACTGTCATCCAACACTTTCTCCATGACTCTTTCCTGGAGGCATCTCGCTTCTCAAAGCCTTTGCCCAACTAAGAAGGCAGCTCACAGCTTGTGGCAGTGAGTTCCACAGGCCAATGAAACAACGTTCTTAAAGTGCAATCTCCCCAACACCACCACCATCTTCCCCCAGTGTCCTCCTTTCTGTACCGTTTTACAGAAGTGCCCAATACCCCGGATCTTGAAAGAGCCTGTTGGTTGAGCGCTGTCGAGCTTCAAGTAGACCTTGGTGCCAGCCAGCTTGGAGAGGGGGATGCTTTCCCGCAGTGGAGTCTTCACATGGAGAGGCTTGCTGGGAGCCATTGCGTAGGTCTGAGGGTAGAAAGGGTGGTTAGATCTACCGTCGATCTAGAACAGTGATCTCCAAACTCTGGCCTTCCAGATGATTTGGATTTTGGCTCCCAGAATCCCAGACCATTGGTCCTGATGGCTGAGGCTTCTGGGAGCTGAAGCTCCAAACACCTGGAGGACCAGAGTTTGGGAATCACTGACCTAGTAGTGGAATAACAAGACTGTGGTTGGCATCCTGTCAGTGGCACAAGAAGGTTTAGGCTCTCCTTATGGTTGTGTATGCTTTATTATGGAGGCTGGGTATCTTTTCCTTCCTCTACAACAACCAAAGACCCCTCAACTCACTGTTTAACTTCCACAGCCCCCCAATATGGCCATTCAGCCGTGGCATCACTCAGGTTGTCATTCCCTGGTGCGGTAACTCATGGTGCCACACACACACACCCCTTGACCTCCTCCCATGCCACACCATCCCGAATCCTTAGGAATGTTTTTTGGACCAATGTTACTCATAAATCGTCATTCCCATATATCACTGAATGTCGTGGTAAGCACTGTGACGCAGAAACAACGAGCAAAATTAAAACGATGCCTTTCAATTACAAGACCATGTGCACAGCCTAAATGTGTTTACGTGTCCACGGTTTCCTGGGGTTAAAGTGAAAATTTGGTCGGATGTGATGTTTTTACGAAAATGTTTAAAGAATTATTTTTTTAAAAAAATATTAAATTTTGTATTAAAAAAAAAATCTGGATCCTCTCCTTTCAACTCCCACTGAGTCTCACCCCATTCAGTCCATCTCTTTGGCATTTTAAAGGCACACAGGAAAATGTCACAACCCATTTCTGCCCAAAAGCACAACAATTACATCAACCCCATACCATTTTAAATGTCATGGCTCCATCCTATGGAGTTCTGGGAATGTAGTTCCTCTTCCCTAAATGAAAGCACTAGAGGTATCACACTGAGACTTCTAAGTACCTCACCTGACTATAAATCCCAGGGCTCTGAGGACCAAGCCATGACAAAGTGGGATTGAACTGCTTGAGAGAATCTACACTCAAGGAGGCAGACCTTTGATCCCAGCCCAGGATAGGTAGTCGGTATGTTTGCGTTACCACTTTCAAAAAACCGCCACGGCTATCCCAAGGGATGGAGTGGGTTAGATTAGACATGTGCCATGGGGAGCTCTGCACTGATGTAAGACCTGGCACTTCTAGTTAAGAGAAGATTGCAGATGGCACACCTGGCAAAGACCTGTGGCTGAAAGCTTCCAAAGCCAGGGAAGACAGCACCAGGCAAAGCACGTTGCCTTAGAATGGATTGCACTGTTTGTCTATCTTATTTGGCATCATCGACTCTGACTGGCAGCAGATTTTCGGGAGCTCACCTAGAGGTGCTTCCATATCACCTGTCACCTGACCCTTTTATCTGGAGATGCCAGGATTGAACCTTGGACTTTGGAGGCATTCTGTCCCTAAGCTTTGATCCTGTCCTATCAACCAACTGTGCTCCAAATCAATACAATGAATCAACTCATATATATATATATATATATATATATATATATATATATAT